TTAGCAATCATCAAGAGGTATGTGTTCCAAAGGAGGAAGGAGGTCTAGGCATTATGAGAACTAAGGAATGGAACAAGGCAGCTATGATGAGGCATATTTGAAACATTGCCCAAATTAATCCCTCCTCCAGATGGGNGATGATCGAATTAGAACCCTAAGGAAACTAAGTCCTTAAAACCCTAATCTTGAGACACCACAAAGGTTGATCACTCCCTTTGATAAGTCGAGATTCAAGCATTCAATCAAGAACATAAGAAGGCAAAGCAAATAGCTTTCTGAAATCAACTTCAATTGATAATAATATATCCCCAAAAAATAACATATCTGCTCCTTTTTATAAGCAACACACCCTAAAAGAAAACCCTAGCTAATTGAAAAACGGGTTGGGCCTAAGTAGAAGCGAATTAGGCCTAAATAAACCTTAAATAAATAAAAGACTAAAGAATCTAATGATAATTAAAACATAAAAAAAAAAAAAAAAAAAAAGCCCAAGATTAAATAAACGAAAATTAATTCCTAAATTAATCCTTACATCCAACTTGATCTTTTGAATCTACCCCTTGCATAAAAAGATAATAGGCCATCCTTGGTGAAGCTTTGAAATCTTCGAATTTAGTTTTAGAGTCTTCTAGTACAGCCTCTTTGTATTGCACTCCATGATCAAGCCTTGCAAAGCCGTTTTCATCCTCTTTGTCTTTGCCCTAGTCATTGGACCGCCAATTCCTTGCAAAGGATCTTGAGAATATTTGGGAACATCAACTTGGTCTTTGTTGCGTGCTATCATTCAAAAGAACTTAAGGCAATAGGAGAAGTGTTTGCCACATATTGAGTTTGCATATAATAGGACTGTTCATTCTATTTCTTCATTTTCTCCTTTTGAAATTGTTTATGGCTTTAATCCTTTAACGCCTTTGGATATTTTACCTTTGCCTAATAATAAGCATGCTAATCTTGATGGTAAGAAAAAGGTAGATTTTGTGAAGGATTTACATGCCAGAGTTCGGGCCAACATTGAAAGGAAGAATGAGCAATATGCTAAGCAAGCCAATAAGGGGCGTTTGAAGGTTGCCTTCCAACCTGGAGATTGGGTTTGGGTGCACATGCGTAAAGAGAGGTTTCCCACACAAAGGAAATCAAAATTGCAGTCTTGAGGAGATGGACCTTTTCAAGTCTTGGAGCAGATCAATGATAAGGCCTACAAGCTAGATTTGCCAAGCGACTATGATAATGTTAGTGCAACTTTTAATGTTGCTGATTTACCTTTGTTTGATGTAGGAGATTCGAGGACGAATCCTTTCGAAGAGGAGGGGAATAATGGAGATCGAGGTGCTGACCAAGTTGATGTTCCAAAATATTCTCAAGATCCTTTGCAAGGAATTGGTGGTCCAATGACTAGGGCAAAGACAAAGAGGATGAAAGAGGTTTTGCAAGGCTTGATCATGGAAGTGCAATACAAAGAGGCTGTGGTAGAAGACTCTAAGACTAAATTCGAAGATTTCAAAGCTTCACCAAGGATAGCCTATTATCTTTTTATATAAGGGGTAGATTCGGAAGATCAAGTTGGATGTAAGGATTAATTTAGGAATTAATTTTCGTTTGTTTAATCTTGGGCTTTTTTTATGTTTTAATTATTATTAGATTCTTTAATCTTTTATTTACTTAAGGTTTATTTAGGTTTAATTCGCTTCTACTTAGGCCCAACCCATTTTTCAATTAGCTAGGGTTTTCTTTTAGGGTTTGTTGCTTATAAAAATGAGCAGCCATGTTATTTTTTGAGGATAGATTATTATCAATTGAAGTTTATTTTAGAAAGTTATTTGCTTTGCCTTCTTGTGTTCTTGATTGAATGTTTGAATCTCGACTTATCAAAGGGAGTGATCAACCTTTGTGGCGTCTTAAGATTGGGGTTTTAAGGACTTAGTTTCCTTAGGATTCTAATTCGATCATCCTCAACATGTTCCTAGCAAAACAAATTGTTCCTATTCTATCATTAACTTTATGCACTGATAAAACAGCTCTAGTTTGCTCAATGATCCATTTCCAATTTCAAAGGGATGATTGGTACCTGAACACGCAGTCAAGCTAGAGTTGAGAAACTTAATTCCACTAGAACCCCTATCCACAGTGCACAAATGGATGAGATTCAAAACTCATAAAGATTAGGACAAAGGTCTACATGTTTGTATCCCACAAAATTATTTTGCTATTAATATTTACAATCACAAGGCCGTAGCTTAATTCAATCAGACAATCATCAAAATGCATGAATAGAAAATGGTCGATTTCCAATTTCCAATAGGCGATTAATTTTAAAAGCTAGTCCCTTAGAGTGGAGAAGATCTATCGCCCTCAACAACATTTGAGAAGTTTGAATACTTGAATAGAAATAGCTCTCTCGCAGTGAAATGTGCATACAGATATAATTAACATTCAATTATGCACATTTAGAACTATTATATTTAGTACAAAGGAAACAATTGCAAGGCTGTTGGTCAAACAAAATTTGTGGTTAGAAATCATCAAGAGGTATGTGTTCCAAAGGAGGAAGGGGGTCTAGGCATTATGAGAACTAAGGAATGGAACAAGGCAACTATGATGAGGCATATTTGGAACATTGCCCAAATTAATCCCTCCTCGGGATAGGTCTCTTGGATCAAAACTTATCTACTTACGAACATGAGTATTTGGGAAATTCTCATCCCTCATGATTGCTCTTGAACTTGGAGGAGCATCCTTAAGCTTAGAGGTGAGGCTAGGTTGAGAGTCAAGTGTGAGGTTGGTGATGGGAGACATATTCGGCTTTGGCATGATAATTGGCACAATATTGGCCCGCTTGCTCTCAAATATCGTCCTCAGATTATTTATGAATCCATTTTATCTAATAATGCTCGAGTTAGTGAGATTTGCGATCGAGGTGAGTGGAAATGGCCAGCTGCAAGCTCTTGGGCGTTGTTAGAAATGAAAATGTTGGTTAATTTCAATCCCACCATGAGGGAGGATAGAATTGTTTGAATCCCTTCTATGACCCAAGGTTTTTCTGTTAGTTCGGTATGGAATGAAATAAGGGTGAGGAAAGCTAAGGTTGATTGGTCCCATCTTATGTGGTTCATGAAATCCATTCCAAGACATGCTATTATTCTTTGGATGGCTATTAAAGGGAAGCTCAACACAAAGGATACACTTGAGAGGAACGACGTTTCACATAACTCTTGTTGTTTTTGTGATTCTGCCCAAGAAACCTTGGATCATCTCTTTTTCTCTTGCCTTTTCTCTAAGTCTATTTGGAGTCAAATCCTTGCCATTAGTTTTATGGGCTATAGGACGGTGCCATGAAATGCTTATATTCATAGTTTATCCTTAAATTGGAAGAGAAATAAACTCAAGTATTTTTTGGCAAAGTTGTGTTTCAATGCCACTACCTATTAGTTTTGAAGAGAAAGAAACAATAGGGTGTTTGGAAGGGAGTGTAAAGATGCGCTAACCATCCGTGATATCATTAGGTTAGTGGTAAGGGATATGGTCATGGAGCTAAGGAAGATGAAGAGGACCATGGGAAATAGAAGCCTTGCGTAAATTTGGGGGTTACCAATGTCTATTTTTTATGGGTGATCACTTTGGGTTTTGTGGTCTTGGTGGTGGTGGGACTCTAAGAAAAACTTGTTATTGAGGTTTTTTGTCGAGCATAGGCGGGCTATGTGAGTAAATGTGGTTTTTTTTTTTTTTTTTTTTTTTTTGTCACCTATTTGGTCGTTGTCTTTTAGCTTTCTTTGGTTATGTTCCTAACGCAGGGTATGTCCCAAGGTAAGAAGAGATTTTGTGTATATACATAGTCTTGTATAGGCTATTTTTTTGGGTCCTAACCCAGGGGATTGTCCTGAGGTAGGTTGGCCGTCTTTTATAGATCTTTTGTACATTCTTTTTCTCTTTTCTAATGAAAGCTTACTTACCCATATATATATCAAGAGGTAGATCTCACATAAATCATGTGCTACAAGTCAACATTTAATATTCTTTTCCAAAATTCATCAACTTCTGGAATAATTTTGGTGTCTCAGTGGCAGGAAACAAACAGTGAAATCATCACAATAAACATGCGGCTAACTTAAGCAAATCATGCTAGCTTAAAAATCTATTGAAAATCTACTTGGTAAAATAAGAATTTAGAATTTGACGGTGACCTCATCTCAATTAAATCAAAATTTAGACCTGATGAAGACTATTATATTTCTTCCCAACCCAGCAAACTAGACAGAAGCAACCGCAAAGCCACTGGAATAATCAGGTTCTTGCGAACACAATATAGGCCCCATATATATACAGGAGAAGAGCTTATTAGCTGTATTTGGACCAAAAAAAATAGACCATCAAGGATTAAATTATAGGTGAGGCAACAATAAGGTGATGCCTCGCAAAAAAATGGTTTCATCATACGTGATTGTATGTATCACTTTATAGTACCACAAACAATTAATATTACACATATCTTACAAGAGGTTCCAAGTTCTCTTTTGCTGAAGGCTTCTTTCATGTGAAGATTTTGTCTATAACATATCATAGTTATAAAACTAGTTAGTTAACTAAATAGAAAATTGTGAACTGAAGTAGGGATCAGATATATGAAATGCAATATAAATGAATAGATAAATTATGTCTACATACACTCAAAAAGAAAAAGTAGTACCACTACTGCAAAGCGGACAGCTCCTTAACATGATTAATGGTTGAAACTTTACAAATTGATCAGAAATATTTTCAATCACCAATTTAACCTCTTACCTATCAAAACACTCTGCAATTATTAAAATGAAGACGAAGTTTCAAAAACTAGAACTCAGTTAATAAAATGGGAGGGAATTGGCTTTGTGACACAAATCAAGAACATATTGAAAATAGACCATCCACCAGTTTCTAGACCCAAGCGAAGCACTAATTTCTCTTTAGATGTNTTGGACAAACTGATATATCTATATAAACATTTTGGTCAAGCAAAGGGATGCAAGTAGAACCTCAATCTGGCAACTTCTGTGATATATATATCATTTTTAACCTTGATTCTTCAGCAAATTCATGACATCTTGCCTCACTGAATCAAAAAAAACATATCAAAATCAAGTTTTATTATAGAGAACATGGTTTTCCAATGTCCTAAAAAGTAGAGAGAGAACTAGAAGCAAACCTCGAATGAGTCAACAAAATTTTAAAGAGGGCATCCAGTGTAATTTGATGAAATGAAGAAGAACAAAAAGAAGCATTGAGAAAGCATAATCAATCATCAATCAAATTCTTTTGACTATTTCCTAATGTCATTCATCCTCTCTTCCATAACGCAAAATGCTGCGCTGAGAAAATAAGTATCTGATAAAATTTGAAACTATAAATAGAAATTTATATGCTTTAGTTGGAAGTCAAAAAGAGCTTAAACATTATCAGAAAATTGATGTATGAAAAGTGGGGTTATGATCTTCAAGAAGTAGGGACACAAATATTTCCTGGTCTGTCAACGTTGTCCAACATGATACAAAGTTCTGTTAACAAAATTTGATGCTTGGTTTTAATAAGATCAAGCAGAGCTAATGTCTTAACATAGGTAAATTTTGGTCAAGAAAAAGAATGCAACAAGAACCTCAATCATAGGTAACTTTTTAATACATCATATTTGCAAATTCAGGACATCTTAAACTTGCCTCTCTGCATCAAAATTAACATATCAAGATCAAGATTAAAAGGAAAGAACATGGATTTTCAACCATTATTAATGCTTTGATGTGCAATAAAGTTTAAAAATCAAGAAAAAACAGAGAAAGCAAAACCAATTTTATAGTTCTCTTGAGTATGCAATCTCCTATATCTATCGTTCTCTTTTCCAAATTTGTTGTAGGGTAGAAATTTGCATGCCTTAGTATAAAAAGTTAAAAAAATGCATAAACATTATCAGATGATTAATCTATGAAAAGTTGGGTTATGACTTAAAAGTATGGACATCTCCCATAGAAGATACTTCCAGGTTTGTCCAATTTTTTCAGCATGATAGAAAGCTATGTAGACGAAATTTGATGTGTTGTTTAAAGAAATTGGATGGAATTTTAAACTTGATTCACTGCATCAAAACTATCATAAAAAGGTCAAGTTTGGTTAAGGAGTAAATGGCATTTTAATTTCTCAATATCCTCAAGATAGAAGTATTAAGAAACAAACGTACCTCACTGAACCATCCAAGTAATACATAGATGGAATTCAATGAAATTGGAGAAGCTCCCTGGCATAAGAGAAAGCCATTGACAGGTATTCAACAGGGCAGTTCGACATCATCCTTTAAACTTGTTTTGGGAAAATGCTCTGTTTAATTGTTTCACTTGATGAAAAAGAAAATACTTCATAGAAAACTCAAAATATAACATAGTGCTTGAGAAGAAAATGATTAAGTCTTCCATTTGAACAATTACATAATTTTGGTTCATGGAGTTCTTTAAATTTTGAGAAGTCAATGAACGAGTTCTTTTTCAAAATTTAATATATCATTAATTAACATTAATAATAAATTTTAAAGTACCCGTATAAATATTCAGAGACGAAACAAAATCTGAGCATGATGAGATTACATGGACAGCTACGATTACACTGATGAGTATACTGCATATCTTCCAAACAGATGGAGGTGCATCACTAATTATTTCAATGGGTACTTTGATCAAGAGAGAAAAAAAAAAAAAAAAAATATTAAAGTGATTAAATATTCAATCACTAATTGGATGAAACAAAGGGAAAGAAAAAGATTACCTCTCATTTTGCCCTTCAAGGGTGGCCTAACATAGGACAATTCTCAATGAATATATCCAATGTTGTATTCTGAACAAGGTGGTTTGGTAGTGCCTTCAATTTGAAGCAGCCATCAATTTTCAAAGAGAAAAAACCATTCAGTCAATAGCAAAAACTTAAGTGTTTGGGAGAAAATAAATGATGAAGATGTGCCATCACTTTCCATTCCCAAAAATTCATTACTCTTTGCACACTCTCCATATGCCGTATCTCTAAAGATTCAAGGGATGGCAATTTTCTCAAGGAAGGCAAATGCTTACAGTTTATGCAATGACAAATTCTTAAGAGCCTGAGGTTGGTTAAGGACACCATCCAGTCAGAGAAAATAGTGTTGCCTCTGTAATTCCATTGCCGTACTTTCTCCACATTCAATGGTGGGTGTAAGATTTCAAGAAGTGATTTGTCATCCTCATTGATTAGAAGAGTTTATGTTCATTCGTTGTAACAAAAAATGCTGTGATATACTTTCAAATTAAACATCAAGAAATGAAAAAAGAACTGAAAGCAACATTCAGAAAGCACAACTAACCATTGATCGAGTTCTTTCTACGCTATTCCTCCTTTCTTCTATATGGCTAAATGCTTCAATGAGACAATAAACATTTGATGAAATCTGAATGATAAATAGAAAGTTGATGTATGAAAAGTGGGGTTATGACCTTCAATTTTCATAGATAACCTTAAATCAGGAAACTTCTGGTCAAGAAAAGAATGCAACGAGAACCTTAATCTGGAAACTTCTTCATATATCATATTTCAACCCTGATTCTTCAAAAAATTCATTGCACCTTAATCTTGCCACTCTGCATCAAAATTAACATATCAAAATCAAGTTTAATTTGAAGGAACAAGGATTTTCAATTTACCCACTAAGTAGAGAGGTAACCAAGGAAACACACATATCTCAATGAGTCATCAAAAGATTTCATAGAGGGAATCCACTGTAATTTGAGAAGCTCCCTGGTAAAAGAGGTATCCAACGGTAAGAAAAAGCATATTATAGATATACGAATCAGTTCTGAATAAAAATTAAAGATTTTACTAAACCAGTAATGATGCTGTGATGTGCTTTCTTGTTTAAACATGAAGAAAAAACAGAGAAGTGAGAAAGCATAACCAACCATTTGAGTCCTTTTGAGGAAATAATCTCCTAGATTTATCCCTCCTCTCTTCCATATTTGTTCTAAGGTAGAAATCTGAAACTGTCATCGAATAGAAATTTGCATGCCTTAGAAGAAAAAAAATCGCAGAAAACAGTATCAGATGATTAGTCTATGAAAATTTGAGTTATGACCTTAAAAAGTACGGACATCTCTTTTAGAAAATATTTCCAGGTCAGTCAATTTATCTGGAAATTTTTATTTTTTGATACAAGTGGCTACATGAAATTTCTCTACCATTGAATGATAATAACTTGTCCTTCATTGCTTTGCCCTGGAGTGTTTCCTCTGTCTATCAGTGACACAACTTATAAATTCTCTGCATAAGTAGCCCGACTAGAAAATCTGTTCTGCATATTGAGGAAATAATAGAATCATAAACAGAATATTAAGGAATCGACGAAAGACATAGAGATGAGTCAGAAAGCATAACCAACCATTAACTGAGTTCTTTCCCTACTCAGGCCTGTCAATCTTTTCCGGCATTATACAGAGTTTTCTGCGGAGGGAAAAGTTGATTCCTGGTTTCATTATCCTCAAAGATGGCAAATGTCTAAACATACATATGTAGCTAGTCTTCAGAGTTCCAATTCTGGTTTTGGGAAAGCTCTGTTTTAACTAATCTCAGTAGCCTTGAAAAAACAACATTAAATGTTCGAAGGGATAATTATTTGGCACACCCTAAGGTTTTCCTTACTGACCCCTCAGGCATGACGTATGAGTAGTAACGCAGAACCCCCTGCTGTAGCTCACTTTTGTTATTTCTAATATCAAGGACAAAAGAGTAAAATGACCCTAAATATTAAAAACTTTTATTATAAGGTGTGATTTGAGTCGGTATTTGTTTGTTTGACATTATGAACTAAAATTGTAAACATAAGAAAATCAAATATTACTTCGTATCTCAAAATGGAACAAATACATTGATTAAAGAGAGAGAAAAAAAAATTACCTCTAGTTTTCGCCTTTATGGGTAGGCTAGCAGAGGACAACCATCAATCTCTTTTTTAAATGTTGTATTGTGAACAAGGTTGGATGAAGAGTGAGGAAAGAGTGAGTAATGAATTTTTGGGAATAGAAAGTGATATGCATTGGTAGAGTTCTAAGTACCCAAGCTTGGTTAAGGACATTATCCAGTTGGGCAAAATAGCGTTGCCTCTGTAATTTCCTAGCCATAGCTTCTCCAAATTTAAAGGTGGTTGTAAGATTTCAAGAACTGCTTCATCATTCTCATTCATCCTCTCTCCTTCATCTTTCCTAAAATCTAATAACATAGCAAGGAGATTTTTCTGATTCTTAATTTCTAATCTTTTAGCCTCATTCACATCTGATATATTTCCCAACCTATATAGATACAACTCTATGAAGAGGTTAAGGTATTTCAAACCTTCAAGGCTGCATGCTTTATTATCATTACCATCACCACCACTCACAACGAATGACCTTAATGTTCGGAGATAAGTCAATCTTTGAATTCCTCTTGGGATGTATCTTAATGACCAAAGCCCATCATTTTCTAGATGCCTTAGATTTATTAATTTTCCAATCCCTTGAGGTAATTCTTCATATTCTTTGCAACCACTATTGTCTAAAATTTGCAAATTTATAATCCACATAATTCTACAGAAAGTTTTCTCATTTCTAGATTTTTCAATTCAAGATATCTCAAATGTATCAATTTTCCCATCTCCTTCGGAATGTTATCAATATGTTTTGCAATGGCATCATACTTCCACCAATACTTAATGCCTTTAAGCATGTCAATTCACCAATTAATTTCGGTAACATATTAGGGGACAAATCAATCTTGGAATCTTCAAAATTATGTATGAAACTACGCATCCTTTTGAGACCACAAATTGAATCAGGAAATGAAGTCCCTTCATCAGCAAATGTTATCATCAAATGACAAACTTGCTCATGATAAGAAGAGTTTATGATTGGCTCTTTAAGACCATTAACTTCTATGTGGAGACATTCATTCTTAGTCAAGAATTGAGCAAAATCATGTACTAAATCGTGCATCTTACATCTAACGATATTATTGTGTTTGTCATTTTCAAACTCCTGGAACAATGAGTGTGATGCTAAGTAGTCAAAGTTCTCTTTACCAACTATCTCCATTACATCATTTTCTTCTTGGTTGAGATAACCATGAGTAATCCATAGTTTAATCAAATAATCTCTTCTTATATTATGGTCCTTTGGAAAGATGACACAATATGTGAAACATCGTTTTATCATGAAAGGTAAATCATTATAACTCAATAGTAAAGGACCAAAAATATCTTTTTCACACTCTTCAAGTTTCCACAAATCACTATCTAAGATTTTTAACCACTCTTCTCTAGTTTTTTTAAAGCACAAGAGACTACCAATAGTCTTTGCAGCAAGAGGCAAACCTTTGCACTTGTTTAAAATTTGCTTGCTGGTCTTTTCTAGATTTTCACACTCCTCTTGAGACCTATCAAAAAAAGAAAATCGCTTGAACAAAAACCAATATTCTTCATTGGGCAATTCTTTGATAGCAATAATGTCAATTGATTTCATCATACGTGTAACGTCTCCATTCTCATAAAAATATGCATAGTAAAAGTACATGTAAAATAACATAAAAAGTTGGGCCCAAAATTTTCTTTTATTAAACATATGTATTCTTTATACAAATATATACAAGATTTGTATCATATGCAAAACTATCAAAATAGGGTGGACAGTGTAGCCATTTCTCTTCGTGTGCCGATGTCCATCCGACTGTGTCCTCATCTAGAACCTGCAAAAACATAGGGAACAACGGGATGAGCACAAAACAATGCTCAGTAAGTAAACCCTCTACTCAATTATCCCCGTAACTCTCTCTCTAATTCTTTCCCTACAATTTTTATTGACTCTTTCTCTTATACAACTCTCTATTTTCTCTTTCTCATAACTCTTTTCTACTAACTCTCTTTCTAGTAAGTCACGGCCCCATCTGACCGGAGGCACGGCTGGGACTCGCTCCCACTCCCTGTGACTTCTACTCATTCTAGCCGATCGGACTTGGTTATGCATGGATTCGGAACCTTTGGCCATGTGAGTGCATAGAATCTCTCGGGTAAACTCGGGTATAGCCCTCATCCGCATGTACTCTACGGGCTACACCACTTCTCTCTCTGATACTCATGCCGCTCTCTCTATGCGGCGTACATGCGGGAATACTCTACCCGTACTCACAGGTTCCCCATCGCACAACCTACTCTATTCTCTTGTTTAGCACTACTCTAGCTTTTACTCTAAAGTGCTTATTCTCTCTTTCTCTTTACTCTTAGAGTAGCTTAAACTCAAAAGTCTCTACTCTTTCTCTACTCTCTTCTCTAGTGCATAATTAATGCATAGTTAATGCACATAAATGACTCATGCTCATTAATGCATTTATGAGATGCAATTATGCCATGTAGCAAAAATTAAGGCTTTCTACTCTTACTTATGCTTCTCTTGAGCATTTCATCATACAACTCATGTGCATATAAAACTCTACTCTAACTCTAACTTTTCTCTTTTCTTTAATCCTCCAAATGGGAGGAAACTCCCTCATAAACTCTAAATTTCCTGTCAAAAGAAAAGACACTTCCATAAACTTGCTCAATACTTCCTCCAACTTCAATCAAACTCAACCCAACATCAAGCAAATAAAACACTTCTCAAAACTCAATTTATGTGTATTACTCATTGAAAACTACTAATCTCATTCATCTCATTTCAACAAACCTAATGAATACACATATATATATAACTCTACTCAAAAGAGTTCTTAAATCTCAACTTAGGTTGAATTTACTTACCTTATGAGGAAATAGCTTCTTTAACACTTCTCCTTTCCTTTGGGAGCTAGCCTTCTCTCTACAACTTTAACCAACAACAACATGAGACTCTAATCAAAACATAATAAAACTCTCATCTAAAGCAAGAATCCTTACTATAGGATGTTTTAGATTAAAACCCTACTAAAAGTTACTCAAAAAGCTCTTGGAAATCCTTGGAAGATTGAAGGAATTTGAGAGAAATTTGGAGAATGGAGGAGGCGGTGGAATGGAAAAATGAAAAGTTCTCAAAGACTAAACCCCCTTAAATATCTCCTAACAAACTCATTCTTCCCATTTTGCCCTTGCTCTTTCTTGGAAATTTCATCCATATCCTTTGATTCCTTACAAACACACCCCCATACTAACATATTCTCCATGAAATTTCCTTACATTTTACTCCCTATTTTTCCTGCTAATTAGGGGTAAAATGGTCAAACAGTACCCAAGGGAAAAAATATCTAAAACTCAATAAACTTTTCAACTGGCACGTCGCCGCGGCGAAGAAGCTTCCTTCGCTGCGGCGAAACAGTCCAGTAGCTTCCCCGTGGCTTCAACACCTCTTCGCCGCGGCGAGCCTTGTAACAGTAAAAACCTTCTAATTTTGACTCAATTCAAGGCAAATACTCAACATATCAATACAACCAAAGACCAACCAACCACTATTCATAAAAACCGACTCAAATAAGAGCGAAATAAGAAACATTAGCAACGTACCTCAAGTGGGGCGTTACAATACGTATGTGTCACTGATTCCTTACGTGTAGTAATCGGAATTTTACTTCCACGGGCACCATTCTTTAAACAATGATATAATGGTTCCCATTTTTTGTAGTCCTCTGACCACACATCATCCAAGATAAGCAAAAAATTTTTCCAGCAATAGATATACTAATATGCTGAAAAAGCGATTCCAATTCACCTAAATTCAAAGTAGAACTTTCTAGAGCCTCAATGATTGCTTTGGCTATCCTGTATTCATCAAAAGGTTCTAACACACAAACCCATATTACTTTATCAAAGTTGTTTATCACCTTATTGTCTTTAGAAGCAAATTGAGCAAGAGTTGTCTTACCGATTCCCCCCATCCTTATAATAGAGATGATATGGGGATGTTGTTCACTACTTTGACACAACATGCATACTAAAGTATTCTTATCCTCAACTTGGCCATATATATCGGACACATCAAAAAATGAGGTACTTTGTACTCAGTTGGACTTCCCAACACTTCTACTCACATTAAACTTATACATATCTTTTTGATTTGCAATGACATCTAAATTTTCATTGACTTCCTTTATTTTTACTACAATGTCATGACATAAGCTCATTTGTTTGAATGAAAAACAAGAGGAGGAAAAGAAGAAACACACATTCTTCTTAGAAACAACATCTTCAACTCCCTCAATTTGTTGTACATTTCAACATGGCGTAGTTCCATTCATCCAACACATCTTCAATGTCCTAAGATGCGTGTTTGAGCCGATCTAACCAAAGTCCTATAGTTTTCTCCTTTACTTGTCTTTCCTCTGCATCAAGGAGCACAACTTCAATATTTTCAAGATTGCTCCTAAGCTTTTTGACTTCTTTGTCGACACCAATAACTAGCTTCACCTCCTGTTGTACTTGTTGACCACTGATTGAAGTCAGTTGTGTTGGAGTAGGTGCCCTAGAGCCAATCAATTATTGTAGAATTGACTCTTTGTAATAATGTTCATTAATCAATAAAAGGCATTTTATTCTATATTGCGTAAA